GTGTGTTATTTAGAAAATAATAAAAAATTAGAAGGAAACAAATATTTTAAAAATACATATTTCAGTATTACATTATACGATTCAAAATAAAAACAATAATCGTGGCTTGAAATTGAGTAAGAAAATGTTTTTATGAACCACACAGCTTCCGGTCTTCAAAGACCCGACCGGACAAAAAGACATGGTGCAAGCATACTACAGATGGAAATACATTGCTTTTAAAATCGTTCTGTGTGACACGAAAAAAGGGGAAAACCGTGTTGCTGAACACGAATCAATAGATTAAATGTCGTGACTATAACACGAAATACCGTAAGACTGGGTTGAAGATTTGGGTACGGAGGAAAAGAGAAAGGGTTTTATTTTCTGACGCTGCGTGAGTTCCCCGACACACCGGGACACATATTTATGTATAAAAGACATAAAAAATTGCATTTTGCATGATAGGTCCTCTTTACATTTTTATGTACTGTATATGCACCATGATATCAAGTCAAATTCCTCGTATGTGTGAACCTACCTGGCAATAAACCCGTTTCTGATTCTGATTCATTTCTGATACTGATTCTGAAAAGGTCAGCAGAATTGTGAAGCATGATATTTTATTATGTTCCAAAAGACCACTATAAGAAACAAAGATAAACTGACTTAATGCTTATTTTTCAAGGAAAGATGAAAACGTTAATACCTCTCTTGTCTCTTGGTTGTCCATTTCTTCTTGATTTCCTTGAACAGTTACTTAAATGTTAGTCTTGGAATTAGGCCAAGAAACTTGAGAATAAACCTTTTGATCAGTGGCGGCAGGTAATGAAGCTAGATAATTCAGTCAATGATGAGTTAACTATTAAGAACTTATCACTATCAGAGTGTTAACTGTTTTAAATTCTGTCAGACTTTGCAGAGGGAAGCTTAAACTTTGTTTATGCATTTTATTTTGTTGGCGTAACTTGTGTTTAATTGTGTTGTTGTACAGCGCTCAACAATCAGTAACCATTTTAAATGTGTGGCAGTAGCATATTAGCCAGGCGTAGTTGAATGTCTGTAGCATAATAAGCTTTCATATAGCATTAGTATTGCTTTGTGTGACATAAAAATGCATTAGCACCTGCTATACACAGTACCCTCCTGTCCTGTGCGTTATTGTATGTCAGTAACTGCATATAATCACTGTTATAATACATCATTACGTCTTCTGCTGTGATTAAAACAGGTATGATAGTTTTAAATATGTTTGCACACGCCACCTAAGCTTATATAAAATACTGTTGCTAGAGCATGCATAACACCAGGACTCTTGCTGCATCACTGTGTCGTGCCTTCATTGTCTCAGAGTTGAAGCCAGGCTGAACTTCAAAGTCCCCTCTTTAATTACACCAGCTTGCACCATCGTATCTATAAGACTTCATTGTTTTCCATGTGCCACCTCCGCACTCTCACCAAGGTGCTGGTCTTCGTATAATAAGGACCGATGTACCTGAAATCGAGATGATTAGAAGTCTTTAGACAGAAAAACAATTTTTATACTGAGCTTCACATCTTTGGATTGAACTCCCTCTTGTATCTGATGAAGCAGAAACTCAGTCTGACAAACTGTCTGATTCAGTACTGGATACTCATTTGGATATCAAAGTAAACAGCTGTCTCTCTCTCTCACACACACAAACATGGAGACACACATACATTATATAATTCTAAACACAAAGGTCATATTTAATGAGCGTCTACAGTCACATCTCCGTGAGGGTGTACTTACACACAGCGTGCTTTGAGCATGAGTTTGCATACCCGCGATAAAAATGCTAATATGCTGATGTTTACCAAGCATAATGATTGCCATGTTAACCATTGCGGTTTAGAATGTTAGCATGTATTTGCTAATTAGCACTGAACATAATGTACAGCTGAGGCTGAGGGGAACATCATTAGCTGTGTAGGAATATGGTCATGAAGTAATACATGAAGTATTATATTAACTTTATCCACAGTGGCTCTACAGTTTCTCACGCTTAACTAAATAAATAGGGATATTTCAAACTATATTTAATAAATAATAACAGTTCAGAATAATGTATAACCAACCCAAATCACCAGAGGTAATAAATAACCATTTCAAATATTTTCTGGGGGATATTGAGTTATTGTTTTAGGAACTTTTTTGCCGGGGAATTATATAAATAATTGTTTGTATTATGTATTTTTTGTCAACAATCATACATATTTAATCTTTATTTTTCAAAGTGTTTTGTTCTCCCCGGTGCTTGGTCAGCTTTTTATAAAGTGTTTTGTAGTTTTATCTGCAAACTTTTTAGAGCTGTTCAGCAGAGAGATAAGGCTCGGAATATAATAACTCCTGTTATTGGCCACACCAAGACCTTATCCCGTAAGTTTAAATATTTATCCCAAAAAATAAAAATAATAACACACATTTCCTAAAATGTTCCTTTACAGAAATGAATAAAATGTTAAGATTTAGCTCGACAGTATATTACCAAAAAAGTCCAGTAACCCCTAAATCAGGACCTTGCGGACCTGTGAAGCTTCAAGCAGTCCCAGGTAACCCTAACCCAGGTTGGGAAGCAGTGCACTACAAGACAAGTTAACATTTTCAAGTTATTACAATTCAACCTGAAGGAAACAGGAATATCTGTGCCAATTTTCTACTGGGGCACGCCCAGGCATTTACACCTCTTCTTGATACATTTCTGTGACCCTTGATATAAGTATGAGCTTAGTTTGTCAGGGGACATCTCACTTCTTCCTTCTCTCTGTCTATACCTGTGTACTCTCATGTTCCGATTAACCCAGCTTCCCCAAATTTCTTTCTTTTTGGTGTCTATATATGCCGGGATCCGGAGTCATGGATGATCCTGCGGTCCTGTGTCATGGATCGCGAGTCCTGGATCTTGAGTCGTGGCTGTGGTCCTGGATCATAAGTCCTGGATGGATATCCTCGTGGATTCATCTTCCTATTATACACACATGCATTTCCACACATTTGGACTACCTATGTTGCAAATGTATTATCTTTTCAATTTACACACGGTATCTATTGCACGTCTGTCCGTCCTGGGAGAGGGATCCCTCCTCTGTTGCTCTCCCTGAGGTTTCTCCCATTTTTCCCTTTAAACTGTGGGTTTTCTCCGGAAGTTTTTCCTTGTACGATGTGAGGGTCTAAGGACAGAGGGTGTCGTATTGTCATACTGATATTCTGTACAAACTGTGAAGTCCACTGAGACAAATGTAACATTTGTGATATTGGGCTATATAAATAAACATTGATTGATTGATTGATTGATCCAGATACGGGGGATCAGGTCTGCATGCAGTTCCAGTATGAGACTGTGATTCCTGGTTCATTTCAGGCTGATGACTTGTGTTGCCAGGTTTATACTTTGATCAAAAAATGATGTTCAATAAAAGAAAATGCCATAAAGTCCAACAAATCATGTTCAGGATGTGTTTTCTTTTTCTGGAAAATACAGTAAAATATTCAGTTTGGGAAGACAAAACTGTAAGAATTGCATCATCCGCTGTGGTGAATACAAACATATAATTCCTGCCTATAATAACTCAGTAATGAATGTAAATAAGCTTTCATCATTTTAAAACGTTATGCATTGTTCCTGCTAAATATTCATTAGGTTTCATCTACAAACTACAGCATCCTGCATTTTATTAAAATGATACAGCTTGAGGAAATAAATGCATCGTGATTAAAACCAGACGCCGCCGCTATTGTCAAACTGTTCACGTTGTTCACAGAAACCGGCACATATGTCTCAAGAGCCAATAACATTAGATGAATTGGACATGACAAGATCAGCCCAGCGATCAGATGGCCGTGACACAAGCATTTGGATTCAACCCTCGCTTAAACAAAAGTGACAGTCTTAAATAAATGAATTTGGTGAGACAAAAGATTTAAACACCGTTTCCCTCACAACCTGCAAGCATCCTGGGACTATCAGAGCGGGAATCTGACTGGAGGGCAAGATGAATCTTATCAGCTTCTTACATATTCTGGGCTCTGCCTCGGAGCCGGTATCAGTAATTACAATTTATCAGGATTTGAGAGTCAAGGAGCCGATGAAGATCACAGCAGGACTGGAGCATCTGGCCAACATTTCACTCAGTTTGAACACGGGAATGTGCGACCAAGAGGAAAGTCTGCAGGGTTTTATTTCCACATGGTTCACAATTTATTTTGCATTTTTGTCCAGCTCTCCATGTACACACAATAGTAACACAAATAGCATGGCACTGTAAACAATGAGTGAACATACTTTTAGTTTTTCCTGGATACAACCCAATAGAATCAGGTCAGATGTTGGCTGTTTTATAATGGAAATGTCACCAGATAACGTGCTTATTAAGTGATCATGTTGTCTAGAAATGATAGATGTCTCACAATTGGATTCCACATATTCTTCACATTGTCTCGCTGTTGACCAAATGTTAGAAACAACGCATTAAAGAAAACTACTGTAAAATGTTTGGCAACTTGTAAAAAGGAATATTCGCAAAGGCATCTCGGAGCACTTTCTGTCAAAAATGGATCAAGCATGCTTACATACAATCAGCTGTGTAAATATAATTGTAACAACTATATTTGAACAGCCGTTAAGATTATAGAGTCACTGGTAAAATACATTCAGAAGGAGGTCAGATAACACAAGACCAAATCTTCATTTTGTGGAGGCAGGAAGAGAAACAGCGTAAACTCTGGTCAGTGAGAAGAACACCAAATATTAGGAACCTCGTTTTCCACTGGCTGGACGTAGTAATGCACTGAAGGACCCATGCATTTATGATACTAAATAATCCAGAATTTGGGAATGACTGGTACTGTCATTACTTTTGTGCATGATCTGAACAAATACAAAAAAAGAGGTAACCTATTTAGTAAATATGTGCTCATATTTCTTTTGGCATTTGCTGTCTTTCAGGGTATTAGGATGTGATGCTAAACATGAAAATAATAACAGGAAGAAAAGAACACAACGCTCTTAGAAACTAGCTTCCCGCATTGCTCTCTGACTTTTCCTTTAGGTGTGATGGTAGGGAATTATGGTGTAAAAAGAAAATGAAGTATGACATCCCTTTGGAAGAATGAAAACATAGTTGCTCTAAAACACACTGCGTGTGATCCAGTGGATAATTCCTCCTCTCTGTTCTGCCTTGATAAACAGTGGTACTTCTGTTTTGTTTGATGAAAAGGTGTGTATGAGGTATTATGCTGGTATCTGAGAAAATACATTAAAGGTTTGTGTGTGTTCTTTAAATCGTTGACAGCTGTTTTTTATCAAAGCAGTCTGCCATTTTTTAGGGCTTAATTCCACATTAAAAGTTGAGTTCAATGAGAATCAGGGAAGGAAAACGTACTGCATCATTGTTTTTTGTTAAACTCAAGGCAAGCCTGCGTTTGGTTTCCACATTTACACAACATATGGAATCACAATCTGACAGCAACAACTTGCATTACAATTAAAACACTAGAAAAGTCATTTGAAAGGAAAAAAACCAACAGAGGTGAATCAGCACTAATGTAGTGCATATAAAATCGTGTTTATTTTCAGGAATTCAAAAAAGGCTGTTTGTTTACCTAAAAGGTGTGTGACATTTCCTTTTACAAAGATCGGGCACTGATGAAACAAAGTCAAATGTCAAACGTTCTGTTTTTCCGTCTTTGAATGTCATGACTGCTCACTCGAGATGTTTTGTCTCCCTCTTGACACATAGACGAGACAACACATCAGGTGGTCCCTTTGATTCTTGCCAAAACAAAAACCTTGAAAATCAACATCTGTGGATCCACTCAGTTGGGCCTGATGACTTGTGGGTTGCAACCACTGTATGTTCACATTGCAAGGAGTTAGAAAAAAGAAACTAGAGGTCCATTCATTGTGTATGTCTTGAGACCTTTTGTCTCCTTTTTCCCCATGTTCGCCTCTTCTTCCTCCGGGGGTACGGTTGGTTGGAGCCAAAGTTCTGGGCCACATCGCCCTTCAGCAGCAAATCAGGTTCATTCTGTCCGCTGTTTTTTTCCAGTACAGCAAATGTTCCCCCCCCCCGCCTCTAAGCGGCCAACAATCAGAAGTATGTGATGGACGTGCTTGCTTACAATCTGAACGCAGTCAGGAGTGTGCGAGGTGGAGCACGTCCCTGTGAGGTATAACAGTTACATATCCAAGTCGCCATCGTAGGCCAGGGTCAGGGGTTTCTGCGGCGGGAGAGACGCCTTACTGCTTTTGGATGGATTACTGAAACAAATAGAAAAAGAAAGAAAAGTTGACAGCGTATCTGACTTAGCAGAACACGACAACCCAACTTTATTTCAGTCTTTACAAAGAGTTCCATTATCTGATAGCAGCTGCACACAGCAGACAAAATACACTGTTGGGAACATAACTCATACTTGACAAGGTTCTTTTCAAGGAAAAGCAGATGGTTAGGACTTAGCTTCGCTTCCCGGTCTGTTCTCACCTACCATGGTGGCCTACAATGGCTCTATTGTTTATTGGAATTTTGCATAGTGAGCAATCTCTTTAGAAAGCAATAACGTACATACCAGACCAAGAAGGATAATGCAATAATGAAGAGTATTAAGAAGAATCCAACGGCGGTCACGGCGTAAACCCACAGCTTTACTCTTCCATCTGTGCAATCAAAAAGCAGCTTTATTACAAACTTTGAATATATCAACATATACAGCTTTTGACTTGATATATTTTTCTCTCATATGCCAGTATAAAGAAGTTATTTTCCTTTCAACAGGAGCTACTAGAGTTTCTTGACATTTTTATGGTCCACTGACAGCCAATTTAAGACATTGACCGGGGCTGCATTTCACTTCTCTTATTTTTCATTTCCGCGCTCCTCGGTCTCGGTTTCACCGGAAGTTGATTTGTCTGCGCCATCTTGAGTAGCGTCCCAGTGGCCTTATTTTTGCCGGAGGACCGAGTATCAAGGATCGAGGAGCTATAATCGAGGAACCACCAGACCATCCTCCGATGAAATCCTCAGACACTCGCCCCGCCCCCTTACTGTGTATCGCTCACTGATTGGACGACGCAGTGCATGCACTGATGTGATGCTTCTTGACATGAGAGCAGTTTCCCAGTGGAGTGAAGAAAATACATGAACCTCACGGGAGTCACTCCTCAGTTTATACTGTGTTTTGTTTCAATTAATGTATCATTTAGTTACAAATATGTGATATATCTGAACAACAAAGTGGTCAAAAAATCTTCATTTATTGGAAACATTTTCATGATTGCTTTTTTTCGTTTTACATTTTCATTTATTGTCATTTCCATTCAGTGAGTCATTAAGTGCTATTTCAAATGTTAATTTGCTACATATCCAAACAAACAAAGTGTGCAATCCAATGAATGTTAATCTAACTGGGTTTCTTCTCTCAATTGTTTTATTTCTATTGTGCACTCCAATATTAATCAAACTATTGTTCGTTTATACATTTTAAGAATGGCGTTTATCTCTTTTGAGAATGAGTTCTTATTTTATTTTATTTATTTGGGTCTACAACAGATGATACAAATGTTTGTGTCAGTAAATGTGTACTAACAGAGGCGCGGGTGTGTGTGGAAATAACGGGGACAGAGCTGGCTGCTGTCAGATGAACAGCTGTGCAGCGTCATCACGACGGACGTCGCTTCACGTGACGCTCCGGAGGAAAGGACGTTCCATTGCTCTTAAAACTCATTTCCCTGCTTCTCGTGGTTTCCTTGCGCGTCTCTCCATGCTTCCCTGGTGGGAGGGACTAGTCGCAGGGAAACAACGCAAGTGAGGGACGCAAGGAATCCATTTAACCGAAGTGAGATGCAGCCCCAGAATGGATTCCACCCACAGCCTGGAGATCTGGGAGCTACAAAGGCAGGAAGGATCTCATTCGCACTGGCCGAGCTGTTAGAAAGATTTCCATTTCAGTACCTGGGCCAACAGGGCGCAGGGTCCACTCGCTGAAGAGGTCCTGGGCCTGAGAGGGCCCCGGCTTTAATCTTCCAGAGTTGGTTTTCACATCAGCTTTCTTGTTGTTGTCCACCCCCGGGGTCCTGGTGCAGTAGTCCAAGAAGCCGTGCGTGGTCATCACTTCAATGTAACCCTTTTCACACCCACACACTCCGCTCTGCATCGGAGGGAGAACATCATTTTACAGCCAGCACTAGACCACCGCGATCGTTACTTTCCCACCGCAGGAGAACCAGCCTGCGATGTATAGGGACTTTTAGATTTAAATCATTTCTGCAATTAACGCAGGTTGATTGATTCCAACCCTGACATTAAACTGTGCTCCTCAGGGGGTAAGTTACAGCGCCACCTCCCGGATCTCAATACTGATAAAAAAGCCAGAGCTAGACTAGAAGGAAATAACTGAAATATAATTCATCAGATAAGAGTGATTTTTCCTTTTTTTTCATTTGCATTTGAAGAAATTATATCAGGGTATACACAACATAATAAAACACTGTTAAAATGATAATCCAGAAAGTACTAATCAACAACTCAGGAAGAAAAAGGGATGAGAAAAAGAACAAAAATGTTAAATAACACTAACATTTGAAGGATGTATAATTAATGATCATACGAACATTAATTTTCAACAACTAACATTAGTCAATAACCTTAACCATGTTTTCAAATTGTTGTTTAAGATATGAAGATGATTTTTTAATTCTCATGATTATTCTACAAGATCCTTCCATTTACAGTTTATCGTCCTTGTAATTTGTCATTATAGGCTTTTTGATGCATTTGACCTGCATTAAACATCCAAAATGTGAAATGTTACCTAAATGCTACACCTTCTTACTTTTTACGTGCAGTTACGTGCAGGGTACTCTAAGGGGCAGTAAAACTTCAAGCTAATTCTTCGTCATTTTCACAACAGCTTGAGTGCAGTTACCCAACCCCCCCCCCTTCATCAAGGTGTAGTCCCTAACTGACACTGAGTCCCCACTCATTGGTATTTATGTGATCTTGCTTTAAATGCCTGTTCTTTACAATTAGAAGTGGCATCCATCAAAATCCATTTAACTGCTCACGTGGAAAGTGTTAGCAGCAGGAAACAGCAAAACACACGGAGAGAATCACACAGATCACAGCTGCCTGATCAAAGAACCATGATCTTACCGGTGTGCAGTGTGAGAAGGGTTTGGTGCAGGGAGGATGGCAGTGTCTGATCGTGGTGGGCCTTTTCTGCGGGAAACAACCCCCTGGAGGAAGACAACAGGTTCTTATTTCTGTTCCTGTACCCATTGATCACTAAATTAATGCACTGTCACACCTGATTAATGGGCCCGGTTGCCTATCACGGTCCCTGATCAATTTGTGAACATTTTAATTCCAACACGGAAAATTGCACGTCAAAATATCAAAGAGTAATGCCTCGGGCTCTTGCCTTCTCTGCGGAGCGAGGTTATCCCTTTTTGGCTCATATTTGCCAGAAACACTTCCTTACAGCGATAAGATCACATTCAGACGCTATTTACAGCACTTCAAGCTCGCCTAAAGCTTTTGTTCCCACAGCGCTATTACCTTTGTTCTGTTTCTCTACGCTTCTTGATTTTTTTTTTCTCCCACACATACAAATGCATGATTACATTTATATGGATTGAAAGCCTCCAAGCTCAGACTCTGGGCTATTGATTACTCATGTTAAGAGGGAGAGGAGGAATCAATGGTGGCTGCGCTGAGTATTGGCAGATCAAATAAGGTGTTAAATTCAACTAGAACGCTATACTAAAAGTATTCCTCGTGTGTGTTCGTGGCTATAATTCTGTGTGCAGGAGACAGGAAGTTCTTACTATAACCTATTATGCATTATTTTTGAAATGATGCCAATAGATTCCCTTGCAGGGGGATACTGAACACATCTTGTGCAAAATCCAAATATTTTGTAGTGATATTGAGGTTTGCGAAATGCATTTCATCCATTTTTGGATCTACCTCTCTACCTTGTTTCCAAGCATTCAATTATCTCCAGAACTAACAAGAAAATCAATTGTAGATGTATTTTTAAACCCCCTGCTGCAAGAATCTCTGACAAAATTACCGGTGTGATATCTTTTCCCAAAATGAAAGAAGATGGATTTCCTGTCATGGTAATGCTGGCAAACTCCTCAGTGAGCATTTAAACTAGCTGCATTGTAGAACACATTTGCAATGCAGGCTATAATGAAAAATGAGACCTTCTGCAGCTTTTTGCTGTTAACACTGATTTAGTTTAGTGCCGGGGAACAAAAAAAAGAACTGGGACACTTTGGGCTGCAGTGTGCATTAGGCAAGATATACAGTAGATAGTTATGTAAGAATTTGGGTCAGTGTGTTCCTCTGAGTGCTTCCGCGTGACACCTTTTAGGGTGGCCAGAAGATATTTGGCAGCTACTCACCTGTGACATTGACACCATCGGAGCGCTGGCACCACACCGCCCGCTTGTTGTTGCTCCATCCTCCCGTCCTCCACTGGTAGCTGTGGCATTTCCCCCCTGTAGCATTGGCAGAGACGATACTCATTAGCAGTTTGTTTCGGGCACTGGCCTGTCGTCAGGCTCCTGTGGACATGAACTACCACTTCTCCTGCTGGCCCCGCTACTTCACATTATATAAGGTAAGACATGTTGTGTTTGTAATGATAGGAAAAGTGCACATGTTTCTGCTAGAGGACAAATACATCTTTGGAGGAAATGAGAGGGGAGAAATTGGCTGGAAAAATATGAAAAACTTCTTATTTCATAAAAGAAAGGCTCTTATCTTTGGGGAGCTGAGGGGAACATTAATTTGAGGAGAGGAACAGATAAAGACACAAGAGCCTGATTTTATGAATCAAAGTAAATCTAGGCACACATGCCGTGTTAGTTATGAGTAGAAGAAACACCATAGGAAAGCACGTACTTACATTAGTCACACAGCTAGCTACAAAGGTGAGCTAGAGTAAAATGAAAGCCAATTACCATAATACATAGTTTAAAAAACAGCTGATAAAAAATGAAAAAATACCCTAAGACTGTGTGACATATATCAAGGTATGTAGGCAAAACATTAAAAAGAGTAAAGATTATTTAAGTAAGCAACTAAAGATGTAGAAAACATATAATAAAGACACAAATAAATTCAGCTCACAGAAACAGTGAAACACAAAGTGAACACAGATAATCCAAAACAATAAATAAGTAATGCCTTGTGAAACACACACAGCTCCCTTGGGTCATTAAGTAATTGTAAAGCCTTCATTTCTCATCAAAATGTGATAATTGGTGTGACAATCGTGACTATGTTGAAAAACGGACACTTTGATGATAGCTCTTTCGTTCGTTTTGCCAACATGTGATACAGAATCAATGATGACTTTGCAAAAACAAAAATTGGCTTGAAAAGCACTTGGTAAAACACCCTTAGCCTTTTTGGATAGTCAGCTTCATAGTGAAACCCAAAGAAATGCTCCTATCCATTATATCTGTTGTATGAGCTGTGGCAGTGTGTGAGTTGATGAGTGTTTTGTCGCAGTGATACTTCCCTCACAAATGTACGTTTAACAGCTCACAAATACACACTGATTAAAATAGCCAAGTGAGGTATCAAGTTCAACAGGATGAAACAGAAATCTTTTTACGTGGCCCTAATAACAAGTATTTCATGTTTATTAGGGGAAAATTCTTCACTTTAATATTCCATCTTAAGAATCAGAGGCATTTGTGTCTGTAGTGTGTTATATAGGTTTCTGTGCATGTGAATGGTCTGCAAAGGCTACAATCCAAAAGTTCCCTCCAGAGGGAGTTTTTCTCCCACACATTTATTTCAGTAACGTAGTGACATCACTATGTATCAATCGCGCTTCTTTTTGGCTAGCACTCCAAAAAAGTGTACGTGATAAGCTAAGAGCTGGGACATCTGTAAGCGATTGACCATGGACAACAGAGCCGGCCAGCGAACCAATCAGAGCAGACTGGGCTCTGGTTTCAGACAGAGGGTGAAAAGAGGTGCTGCAGCACAAACAATATGAGAAAAATAAAGAACCTTTTGAACCTTAAATACGATAATACTTTATTGTCATACCAAGTGTGAAGGTGTTCTTGCATGACATGTAAAAATGTCACAGTAGAGGGACAAAATACGAATATGAACCTGAACATTTTCATAGTCAGGCCCCTTTAAAGATCCAAGGCTTGTTGTCCAATTGTTGTATAAAAATGTTAACATAGTTTTGTTTGGTCTGGGTTCTCCACATGGCAACAGTGATGTAGAAATGTACTCAGGGTGTGTGGACATCACGGCTGTGTGTGGTAACAGGTGGAAATGTCCTTTAAACATAAGAGGTCAGTGAAACAAATACAAATGTTAATTTACCTTTTAAACATGTTTTACAGATTATTTTCCAGGTCTGTTTAGGGTCGGAAAAATGTCCATATTTGAAATCACACATCAAGCACACTCAAAGCGACGTTAGCATTCATTTCTAATGTCTGTCCAAAATGTACTCTCCTTTAGTTGTTTTTGGACTTGCCCAACTCCTGAGGGAAATATTTGCCTCTTCAGCTGATAAATGCTCCACTATGTTCGGCAGCCAGTCATTAGCTTTGTATGTCTGCTGTTTAGTGCTGGTTGAGTACTGGTTTCATCTGAGGGTTTTTTTACTGAAAAAATCGCCAAAATGTAGAGTTGGAAGATGCTTTAATGCTCCATTGAGCTTAGGGCTGGGGGGGGATAATTCACTGTGGCTTTGTCACCCTCAAACTTTTCAAATCCAATCCAATCCATTATTTGAGGCCCTATTATGCTTTTTTGATGTTCTTCTTTTCTTTTTATATAGGCTTTTGTACATGTAAATGGTCTTCAAAGGCTAAAATCCCAAAGTTTTCTCCAGAGGGAGTTTCTCTCCCCCTCTCTGACACTTTTATTTTCTTCCGTAACACAGTGTCATCACCAGTGGCGGCGCCAGAGTATTTGTGTTGGGTAATCTATGGTAGGGCTAACCCATACAGTGGTAGGGCTCAAGTCAGTATTTGCAATGTAATTACATACACGCTATATCGCCCTCCTTGACAGTGAAACGCGACGTGTGAGGTTTAGATTATTTCCCTGTCTCAATCCAAATTGAACTGTATGAAATAAAAAGGCACATTTGTCTTGTAACCTGGAGCCTACCCTGCAATTTCCCCAAAAGTGAAAGAGTTGACATGCTGAAAACCCAACTCCTGCAGGGGGGTCTGGGGGGATTCTCCCCAAGGAGATTTTTTGAAATACTAACATAAAATACACATTCTGGTA